GTGTGGCTGGCTTGGGTGGGTGGTGTAGTGTGCTGGCTGGCTGGTGTGCTGGCTGGGTGGGTGGTGTGCTGGCTGGCTGGGTGGGTGGGTGGTGTGCTGGCTGGGTGGGTGGTGTGGTGTGCTGGCTGGGTGGGTGGGGTGGTGTGCTGGCTGGGTGGGTGGGGTGGTGTGCTGGCTGGGTGGGTGGGGGTGGTGTGCTGGCTGGGTGGGTGGTGTGGTGTGCTGGCTGGGTGGGTGGTGTAGTGTGCTGGCTGGGTGGTGTGCTGGCTGGGTGGGTGGTGTGGTGTGCTGGCTGGCTGGGTGGGTGGGTGGTGTAGTGTGCTGGCTGGGTGGTGTGCTGGCTGGGTGGGTGGGTGTAAGTGTGCTGGCTGGGTGGTGTGCTGGCTGGGTGGTGGTGTGGTGTGCTGTGGCTGGCTGGGTGGGTGGTGTGCTGGCTGGGTGGTGTGCTGGCTGGGTGGTGTGGTGTGCTGGCTGGGTGGGTGGTGTGCTGGCTGGTTGGGTGGGTGGTGGTGTGCTGCTGAGTGGGTGGGTGGCTGGGTGGTGTGGTGTGCTGGCTGGGTGGGTGGTGTGGTGTGCTGGCTGGGTGGGTGGTGTGGTGTGGTGTGCTGGGTGGGTGGTGTGGTGTGCTGGCTGGGTGGGTGGGTGGTGTGCTGGCTGGGTGGGTGGGTGGTGTGCTGGATGGGTGGCGTGGTGTGGTGTGCTGACTGGGTGGGTGGTGTGGTGTGGCTGGCTGGGTGGGTGATGTGGTGTGTTGGCTGGGTGGGTGGTGTGCTGGCTGAGTGGGTGGTGTGCTGGCTGGCTGGTGTGCTGGCTGGCTGGGTGGTGTGGGGTTCTGGCTGGGTGGGCGGGTGGTGTGGTGTGCTGGCTGGGTGGGTGGTGTGCTGGCTGGCTGGGTGGTGTGCTGGCTGGCAGGGTGGGTGGTGTGCTGGCTCGCTGGGTGGTGTGCTGGCTGGGTGGGTGGTGTGGTGTGCTGGCTGGGTGGTGTGGTGTGCTGGCTGGCTGGGTGGTGTGGGGTGCTGGCTTGGTGGGTGGTGTGCTGGCTGGGTGGGTGGTGTGCTGGCTGGGTGGGTGGTGTGGTGTGCTGGCTGAGTGGGTGGGTGGTGTGCTGGCTGGGTGGTGTGATGGCTGGGTGGGTGGTGTGCTGGCTGTGTGGGTGGTGTGATGGAGAGGAGGAGAAACGCCTTAACCACGGGGCCATGCCGATAATAAGGAACCCGCAATTAGATTGGACACACGGCGCACAAAAAAAAATCGGAGGACAATTACTGTACCACCGACGACGACATCTTGTGGGGTTTTGTTATTCACATTCTCCATCCGCAACGGCTCGCGGCGCCAGGGCCGAGACGTTATCTTCCTCAACTGGTAATGCAGGAAATGGTGGGTTCGATCCCGATCCTGACGATGCCTGTATATTTGGAGTTTGGATGTTCGCGTGGATTTTTAATCCAGGTCCTCCGGTTTTTCCCCTCCACATCTATAGAATCAACATGCATTTAGAGTATTTGGCTGCTATAAATGTCCACATGATGAGCCACTTCGTTGAGCTATCATTTGTGGCGAGGTCGCTTTTGAAAAAGAGCTACATAGCTCAGTGGGCCTTACCTCTATAAAAAAAAAATGTTACTCGTGAATATCTCGTGTTGCCATAATACAGTACTTTATACACGGGTTTGCCTCCCAACTAGGAGCCATTACAGAAAGGGCCCTTGCCTCTAATGTTTATAAACATTTGGGGAGTTCACCAGCATAGGTTTAAGCAAGGCTGACTGATGATGGAACCCTATTGAAACCAGTCCAGAGTTTGCTTGAATTGAACCGATGCTGCTTGACAACGTGCACTCCAAGAGGGGCCGGGTGGCTGATGAGATGTGTAAAACACGTTCAACGTAGAGATATACGACGGAGGCATTACTACTGGTAGGAACCTCCTGGTTACACCAGCCCACAGGGGATTATTGTGTCCGTCGTGCAGGGAGGGGCTGGGTGGGGAGGGACTGGGTGGGGAGGGGCTGGTCACCCCGTGGTGCCCTTATAAAACTCAACGTCAAACCTACTCACGCCGGCTTGTGCCCGCACTCACAGTCGGGCATATTTGCGGAATACACCACGCCGCCGTTGACCCTGGCCATTGACCGAGCAGCCCAACGTTCCTACCAGCTCCCTCCGCAGGGATGTGTTTTGTATCATCTTACAGGGCATGGTATAAGCCGTGTTAACATGGATTGATGGTAAGCAGGCACAACACCTGGCTGGCTGTTAAGGACAGGTAAAACTAGAAACTAGAGAGTTTGATAGCCGAGGTCGTTAGTGGTGAAGGAAAAAAAAGAGCGGTGGTGCAGTGATTAGCGCACCCTGAAACCGAAAGTTGATTCCCGGCTACGCGATATCTGAACCGGTCCTACCATGCGCACCGACCAAAACCACTTCCAACTCGTAGTGACCAGTGTGGTGAAGTATGGACAAACTGCATCTGCCTTGAACGAACTGGCATGGGGGAAGCTTTCGTCCGGCAATATACTTATACTGGAGGAATCCGATGAGCGAGGAATCTCTTTTTCAGGAGATTGGCAAGTGGGGTGCGGGTGGGTGCTGCATCATGCGTCACGTGTCTCCGTGCGTGGCAGTCTCTCAAACCCGAACGCCAGGGGCGGCGGCAGCGGCTTCAGACTCGACTCGGCGCGTTTTGTAACAACAAAATAACCATTTAATAAGTGCGCTTTAACAAAACGGTATAGAACAATCTCAAGTCACGAGGTGCAGCAACATCCATGGAACGATATTTAAACAACTCTTAAAAACGAAACCCTCCCCCCTCCGCGCGCTCTCCTAGTGCAAATCACGAGATGGCGACAGGAACTGGGGTCCATTAAACACCACGACTGGTGGGTGGAGGGGGCCGGGACCCCCAAATACAGTGATCAAAGGGGAGGGGGGGGGTTAGGGCAGACCCCCATATTAAGCAACGTAGCCTTTGGTTGGGGGGGGGGGGAGGAACCAGGAGCCACACTTGGACCCAGGATACTCGGACGGAGATATCCTCCCCAGCCACCCATCCATCTGCACCACGCAATTGATGCGCCCAGAGCCCTAGCCCCACACGCACAAGACCACGAACCACCCACACTGCAATCCACAATCATAATCACGCACGATCACCACCGAAACCAACGCGCGGGCTCGGCTGCGGGGACGGGACGCGAAAGCCACCAGAGAGAGAGAGGGAGGGAGGCCGCGGCGTTGCGGGCGTGTGTGCGCGAAACAGCTGATGGGGAAAATGTTCCCTCGACCCCACCCCACCCCCATCTCATCCTCCCCCCGTCTTTAAGTTTCACATCCCCGAGTGTGAATGGGCATTCGTGCAAAAACTGGAGGTGTTTTTATGTTTTTGCTGCGGAACTCGCCGCGTACGAGTTTTGATGAGATTCGCACAAAAAAAGCAGTCTTTCTTTTCGACCGGGAGCGTAAAACAAATGTCATCTTAACAGCGCACGAGCCCGTTCCGATATCCGCGCAGGTTCAACCCAGGGCCGCGTGGTGAAACAGAAACCTTCCCCCCCCATCCCTCGTTAGGCCCTGCCCACTCTTACACAACCACGCACACTAAGCAATTAGCCCCACCCATCATTTTGGGTAACCCCGCCCATTGAATGGGTAGTCCCTCCCATTGCCTTGGCTAGCCCCGCCCTTTGACTGCGTCATCATCATCAGTCGGGCATGCGGCCGAGAACATTTAAAAACTGGACGCAATTCAACTCTGCCTTAAAAGGAAAATGACAGGCGACGTTTCTGGCAGTGGCCCTAATTCAACAGCACAAAGACCCAAACCGTTCATTCACCATGTGCTATGAAGAAGGGGAATTATCCCAAGACGTCACCCGTTATATACGATTCCTTTCAAGGCCACAAGGTAATCATTGACGAATGTGCTGAGCTCACCGGGTTTCTTTGTGCTTGTGGACCCGCTGCCATCACCAAACAACTGGTTTAATCAACAACAAACTGGTAGGAAAAATAAATTACGCGGGGTGACACCAGGACAGCCGATCTGAAACCACTGGGGACATTCGGGGTGGGGTAGCGTTGGGTGTCGTCCCCGCGTTTCAGCATTAAATAGCAAAGAGAAACATTCCGCTCGAGACGTCTTTCGTGCCACCCAACAACTATCGGTGCGCAGACCAAAGTCCGTGGCCATTGGCATAACGCGTTCCCTCCTTTACGATTTTTAATGAACGGATTGCTCTCTCACTCTGCACTCGCTTGCTGCACGATCGGCTGAAAGGGAAGCACGCGCTACCTTCAAGGTGTTGTTCTATTCGATCGGCCCCTGGGACTCGAGCCTGGTTGCTGTGGTGGCGCTGGCGGCGGTGGCTGTCGTCACGTTGGCCCACGTGTCGCAGTGATGCTGTGAGCGAGGGGGATGACTTGGCCACTTAACGCGGCACAATACTTTTTTTTTTAAAACGTCGCTGCAGCACCGGCGTGGTAGCGTGGTTGGCTTAGGCCCTGGCGCAGGGAAGTGCAGTCTGGTCTGCTGTAACGGCGAGCTGTTTTCAAAACGCGAATTGGATGTAACGCGATTCAACACCCGATCATCGCGTGGCGAGCGGAAGAGCGGCACACGGGTGGTGGCAGCAGTCCCACGTGACAATTCAAACGGATTTATCGCTTGAAACAAGAAAAAAAATACGAGACCTGAATTCATTCGCCGCCCCATCAATTCAATGGATTGTCACGATTCGATTCAAGGATTGATTGTTTTTTGTTTTGGCCATTGCGAATGTAAGTGGCGTCTCGCGTCAGCCATGGCTCACATAAAACCCATTTACGAGGCGTACAAAATGTACGGGATAGATTTTTACGCGCATGGCGAGCATAAGAATGAATTCTAATCGATGCATTGTTGCACTACATCCTGCAATCCGGTTATAATTGGCAACTTTGTATTATTCTTCAGAAGAGGCTTGAGCCTGGCTTACCATGACAGCGTGAGCCAGATCGGTGGCCATACGACTTTAATTGCCGCCACCTCCGTGCCAAAGGCGCTGGCAGTCGCTGTGAGAATCGCCGAGCTTAGACCGCCGCGCCATTTCAAAACAGTGGTAGCAGTTTCCCCATGGCAGATGAAGCCAGAGTGAAATGAGATGGTGACCCGAAGCGTCACAAAAGCACAGTGCTCACCACAAACAGCAGCAGCAGCAGGGCCGCCACCCACCGCTCATCGCTCGAGCCAGAGCCACCGACGGCCTCCCTCGCAGAGGGTGCGACCCCTCCTGGGAGGGGTCACGACCCGACTTTGTACAGTTCCATCAGACTCGTCAAGGAGGTCCCTTGCCGATGCGAATTAATGCACGGGCCATACCATTCGAGACGAAGTAGCTACGCAGGTCCGTCGCTCGCCTCCATCACCCAGATCCATCCTAGATCCCTCACTCATCCATTGCAGATCATCCACTGCTCCATCACCCGGTTCCATCCCAGATCGAACACTGCTCCATAACCAAGATCTCTCACCAATCCATCTGAGATCCCTTACCGATCCATCCCAAATCCCTCACTAATTCTTCCCACACATCCCTCACTGCTCCATCACCCGGTTCCATCCCAGATCGAACACTGCTCCATCACCCAGATCTCTCACCGATCCATCTGAGATCCCTTACTGATCCATCCCAGATCCCTCACTAATTCTTCCCCCACATCCTTCACTGCTCCATCACCCGGTTCCTTCCCAAAGCTTTCACGGCTCCATTATCCCAACTCGTTTCCGGAACCCTCCCTTCTCCGACAACTCACTCGGTCACAGACACCTTCATCCAACTCCTCAGTCGGCTTCCTCTCCCAAGTGGTTTCGGCAGTCTCGGTCGGCTTGGGCGCCGTCGCGCGCAGAGCGCCTGTGCTCACGGGGGGGGGGGGGGGGAGGGGGGGCAGGGGGGGGAGCTGACCACGCCGCCCTCTGATACCACTGGCTCCACTGGCCGTCTGATCTCATCATCATCATCACAGCCATGGCCAATCCACTGCCTGATGAAGGCCTCCCCCAAGCCGTTATCCTCGTAGCGGCTTTTGGCTTCGTCATCAAACAAAGAGGGTCACTGCATCGCACGCTTTCAGATGCGCTTCTGCGACCGTCTGGAACGCTCTTCCCTTCGATATTGGGAAACCACTGGAGCTATGCACTTGTAAATCGAGATCAAAAACTAATTTTCCTTCAAACTTTTTGTGGTTTGTTGTCCTTCCCCCGCACCTCCGATCAGCACGGTTGCTACGTATGGTGCGAAAGAAGTTCAACATACATACATCTCTAATGAACCTGCGAATTCACGTTGATACCCACACACAAGGTAAGTGGATGCCCTCACAGGCGTGTTCCCTCTCTCGGCTGCCACTAAGCTAATAATGTAAATCACGAGAATACCACCAGGTGAGCCGAAACGTCAGTAGCCACTGAGGAACACCACCTTTCAGGAATGCCGAAGCAGGTACAGTACTCACACGTTCAAGTATTAAAGCAAGCAATTGGCTGGCGCGCCTCGAACCATACTTCAAAATAACATGGACCGCAAACCGGCCATGTGAAATGTATTTGACTTCACATTTGCTCGTTTTTGATTTGCACTCACACAGCTGTGATGCTTGTTTCGAGTGAAGCGGCCGAGCTGCCAGTTATCTTTTGTTTGTCTCGCTGAGCCGGCGCAGCAGCCCCCAGCAGCAGCTCGAGGAACTGCTTAGGGTTGGAAATCCACTCGCGAAGGCCGAGGAGGCCACGGCGGCACGAGGGCAAGACAGAGACTCAAGGCGGCAGGGTGGAAGGACGCACGTGGCCAAAAAAATAAATAAAACGTCAAGTCAACGGTCCGCACCGTCCCACGCGCAAATGTCGTCAAGAGCTAAGGTGGCACCGTGGGCATCGTACACACGAGCGGGCGGGCGGGTTGTACATACGCACGGGTATGACGAGGAGGGCTCCGGGCTCGCCCACCGTACCGGATGCTGCGAGTTCCCGCCTGCACGGACATCAGCGAGAGCTGGCGCTGCGAGCCTCCGATGCTGCGCCACGTCCAACGGCCCAAGCGGCACGAGCCGAAAGAGCGTGGCGGACACTCCGGCGCCCTGGCACGAAGCCTGGCACGGCACTGAGGGCATGTGGCACGTGAGGGCGTGTGGCACGTGAGGGCGTGTGGCACGTGAGGGCGTGTGGCACGGAGCTCAGCGTGGTGCGTGGCACGGAGTTCAGCGTGGCATGTGGCACTGAGGGCATGGTGGCACACAGCTCAGCGTGGCACGGAGCTCAGCATGGCATGTGGCGCTGAGGGCATGGTGGCACGCAGCTCAGCGTGGCACGGAGCTCAGCATGGCATGTGGCGCTGAGGGCATGGTGGCACGCAGCTCAGCGTGGCACGGAGCTCAGCATGGCATGTGGCACTGAGGGCATGGTGGCACGCAGCTCAGCGTGGCACGGAGCTCAGCGTGGCATGTGGCGCTGAGGGCATGGTGGCACGCAGCTCAGCGTGGCACGGAGCTCAGCATGGCATGTGGCACTGAGGGCATGGTGGCACGCAGCTCAGCGTGGCACGGAGCTCAGCGTGGCATGTGGCGCTGAGGGCATGGTGGCACGCAGCTCAGCGTGGCACGGAGCTCAGCGTGGCATGTGGCGCTGAGGGCGTGCGGCGCTGAGGGAGTGTGGCACTTTGCTCAGTGTGGCGCGGGCCATAGCCGGGCTTGGCACGTGGCACTGGGCGCAAGGCGGCACGGAGCGGGGAGCGGCGCGGGGCGCAGGGACGTGGCGAGACGCGGCTCGGTCAACCCGGCGGGCGACCGCGGTAAACGCTCGGCGAGGAAGGCGCTCGGCGAGTGTGCAGTGCGTGTGCCGGTTGCACAGAACGTTCACGGCGCGTGGAGCGGCGTGCACTGCGTGGTCGCACATGGGGTGGTGGGCTGCTCTTGATGTAGTCTGCTGTCTGTGGTGTACTTGGTGTAGTGTGCACGGTGTGGTGTGCATGGTTGTTGTGCTGTGCTTGATGTCATATGCTGTATGTGGTGTGCTAGGGATGGTGTGCACGGTGTGGTGTGCACAGTGTGGTGTGCACAGTGTGGTGTGCACAGTGTGGTGTGCAAGTTGTAGTGTGGTGTGTATGGTGTGGTGTGCTTGATGTTGCATGCTGTTATGTGGTGTCTTTGGTGATGTGCACGGTGTGGGGTGCTTGGTGTGGTGTGCATGGCGTGGTGTGCTTGGTGTGGTGTCCATGGCATGGTGTGCTTGGTGTGGTGTGCATAGTGTGTTGTGTATGGTGTGGTGTGCATGGTGTGGTGTGTACTGTTCATGGTGTGCATGGTGTGGTGTGCATGGTGTGGTGTGTACTGTTCATGGTGTGCATGGTGTGGTGTGTACTGTGCATGGTGTGCACTGCTCAGGACGTCAGGCAGCAGCTGGACTTGTGCTGTGCTGCCTCCACGTACTCCTTGAGCTGGAATTTGGGCTCGTCCGGCTTCCCCAGTTCACGCTGCTTCAAGGCCCTGTGACAAAGACAAAGATCCCCCGTGTAGCCTTCAGAGACCGTTTGGGCAAGTGCTGTTCGCGAGCCGCGCCTATGAAGGCCGGCACGACACACGAAGGGCGTGGGTAGCCAGCATCACGCCAGGCTGCCTTTGCCTCCCTTGTGGCGTTGGTTACACACCACGCCAGGTACTCATTGGAGGCTGAGTTGACCCCTGGTAGGCCAAGGACTTGTTCAGATATTCGTCCCCGATATTGGTCGTGTGCTATCACGTGTACTGTGCGTTTAGTGATGCGTGCAAGTGTCATGATATGCTACGGGGGATCTTTGTCTTTGTTCACATTCGTGCACATGCCGTTGCGGCACACATTCTGTGCGTGCTCGTGTGTGAGTGCGCGTTCTCTTGAGCGTGCGAGTGTGTACGCACGAGTGCGTGCATGCGTACAGTGTACATTAACAACACTTGCCCCTACAGCCTGTGTAGGGAGCGGTAGTGTAGCAGTTAGCACGCTGCGCTACGAACACGGCGATTGGAATTCAATTCCCGCTCATGGCCAACACCGTGCTAGGTAGACTCAGCCTCAAATAAGGAGTGACAAAGGCAGCCGGGGGTGGTGCTGGCCACCCACCCCCTCGTGTTCCGTTCTAGCCTTCATAGGTGCTCGCTAACAGCACTTGCCCCCACAGTCTGTGAAGGCTATACGGGGGGGGGGGGGGTGTCTTTGTGTGCATGTACGTGCATTGCTCGCGCTGCCACTCACTTGGCCAGGGCCATGAATGCCAGCTCCACGTTGAGGCCGCTCCGTGCGCTCGTCTCCATGAACGGCACCTTGCATTCCTGGGGTGGGGGCACGCGGGTGGCAGGGGGTGAGGAGACCGTATAGAGGCGTGACGCAGAGGTCGCAAACGGGTTTTGATTCCTTACCCGTACCCGGCCACACCAGGGTCGCAAACGGGTACCCGTACCTCTACCCGGCCGGGTATGGGTACCCATACACTATCCGTACCCGTACCCTACCCGAAATGAGTGACAAACGGTTACTCACCGGTGACTCACAGCCTACCCGTACCCAGCCGCACCAGGGTCGCAAACGGCTACCCGTACCCGGCCGGGTACGGGTAGCCGGGTATCGGGTAGGGTACGGGTATCGGGTACCCGGTTGCGACCTCTGGCGTGACGGCATGGGGGTTTTGGCTGAGTGTCTGCGTTAGTGAGTGGAGGAGTAGTTTGGTGGTTGAGTGAGTTATTGAGTGGAGGAGTGGGTGAGTTGGTCAGTGAGTGAATAGAGGAATTAGTGAATGGGTGTGCGAGTGCTTGAGTAAGCAAATGCGTCGGTGGATGGGTGAATGGGCGAGCGGGTGAGTGAGTGAGAAAGCAAGCGAAAAAGCGAGCGAGCCAATGAGCGAGCGAGCCAGTGAGCGCACAAATAAGTGTGCTGGCTGGTGCGCGCGCACGCGCGTCTGCAAGTGACCGACTGCACGTGTTGAGTCCGCGAGGTGAACAACAGGTGCAGACAGGCGAGCGCGGGGGGCCCCCGTAGGGACCGGAGGCAGCCTTTGAGGCTCCCTAATCCCGAGCGCTCCGCCGCTAATGTCAGCGCCGAGTGCCGCGCGTGAATTATGCACGAGAGCAGAGTGGCGTTGAGAGTGGCTAAGCGCCGGGAGCGCGGGGATCGGTCACCTTGGCGAGCCTCTCCCCATCCTCCAGGCGAACCACGCGTTGCCCGCCCAGGTCAGCCTGCGTTGGGGCGAGGTGGTGGGCGGGGCGGGGCGGGGAGGGGGGCGAGGGAGTGGACAAGTTGGAGCAAGAATCAGAGCGGCAGAACCACAAGTGCGCGGTCTTTGTAACCAGCGCTCTGTTGTGTCAGTCAGTCCGGCGCACACACACACACACACACTTCCTTCCGGCCTGAGGCTCACCACCATCGCAACCACCACTGCATTGCTGCTCACTGTAAAAGGCTGTTATACCGTGCAGCTCACAGTACAACCAACACACCAAGGCACACGTAGCATATCACCACACTAACACGCATAGCTCACCACACAGAACACCACGGAGCACACACAGCGTAACACACAGCTCAACCAGACAGCGCACACCGCAGCACGTAGCATAGCACTCCATGTATACACATTGCGTAGCACATGGCCCACCACATAGCCTCCCAGCTGCAGCCTATGGCATCACCCCTCACCCCCGCTCCTCACCCCTCACCCCTCGCCCCTCACCTCTCACTCCTCGCCCTTCACCCCCGCCCCTCACCCCTCACCCCTCGCCCTTCACCCCCACCCCTCACCTTGTTGCCGATGAGCATCAGGACCACGTTGCTGTCTGCAAAATTCTGTACCTCCGTCAGCCAAGACTACACACACAGGGCGCACACACAGAACACACGTACAGGACACGTGACTTCCTACGACCACTGCTGAAATCACATACACATAAAATGGTACCTACTTTACTTGCCCTGTGGAGATGATGGGCTGCAAAGTTAACCTCACGAGGAATTCGATATTAAAAACTTGCAAGTCAAAGTCTCTCCCTCTGCCACAGTTCTACCCAGCCAGAAAATTGAAGATGATTATGATGATGATTATGGGAAGATGATTAATAATGATGAAGATTAATTTGATCAAAACGATGATGATTTTTATTACGACAATGATGATTATGATTTAAGATGATAATTTGACGACGATGATGATGATTTTTAATGTCGGCAGTGATTGTTATCGATAACCATAATGATAATAATAATAATGATGATGACCATGTTGATGATTCTCAACAACGACGGTGACAGTTGCCGATGACAATAAAAGACGAATCCAAGCTGACTTCATCACACGCGCGCACACTCACCCGCACGTTCTCAAACGACGCCCTGTTGGACACGTCGTAGCACAGGAGCAGGGCTGCAGCAGGGGCAGCGGCAGCGGCAGCAGGAAGATGAAGATGGGCAGGAGGGACACAAGAATCAGAGAGGGTGTTCAGGACAAGCATTTCAACGCAAGGATGCTCGCATTCCGTTTACGATGCGTCCCAGTAAAACATGCACGTGTCGGACTAAGGTTGGGCTAGCGTCGTTACACCATCGTTGAACCAACGATGGCCCAGCGTTGGTCCACGTTCACTGGGATGATCACCCATCATCGGTCATCAGGAAAGGAATGTGGCTCTGACCACGGCCACGAGCACCGCCGTGAGTGTGCACCACGCGGCATTATAAACATAGATGTATGGGGAACGGTAGTGCAGCGGTTGGAGACCTCCGCTGCGAACTCGGCAACCCGAGTTCGATTCCCGCGAACGGCCAACCACCAGTGGCGATTACCTGAACCAGTCCTCGGCCTGCAACGACTACCTGGTGCAGTGTGTAAACATTGCCACTCGGGAGACAAAAAGGTGGCCGGGTTTGATACCGGACACCCCCCCCCCAGCCCACACTCCACCCCACCCTCGTGTGCCGTACCGGCCTCAATAGGTGCTCGCTAACAGCAAGTGCTTGAAGTCTAACAGGCTTCACGGGGTACAATTGTCGATGTTGTGTACTGCATGTGCCTTGTACCCTTTAGGTGTGCGGTGAGGTGGTACACATGTGCGTGGTGTGGTGCTGTACGTGGTGTGGTGCTGTGGTGTGGTGCTGTGCGTGGTGTGGTGCTGTGCGTGGTGTGGTGTGGTGCGTGTTGTGGTGCTGTGTGTGGTGTGGTGCTGTGTGTGGTGTTTGGTGCCGTTGGGTCGTTACCGTCGGCGTCACGGTAGTACGCGTGCGTTACACTGCGGAATCTCTCTTGGCCGGCGGTGTCCCAGATCTGGTGCGCACCACAACACGACAATCAATACCACAACAATCAATAGCACACCACAACAATCAATACCACACCACAACAATCAACACCACACCACAACAGTCAATACCTCCTCACAACAATCAATACCACACCACAACAATCAATACCACACCACAACAATCAATACCACACCACAACAATCAATACCACACCACAACAATCAATACCTCCTCACAACAATCAATACCACACGACAACAATCAATACCACACCTCAACAATCCACACCAGAGTGGTCAATACCACCCCACAACAATCAATACCTGCCCACAACAACCAATACCACAGCACAGAAATCCACTCCACAACAATCAATACCTACCCACAACCATCAATACCACCCCATGGCAATCCACTCCACAACAATCAATACCACCCCACAACCATCAATACCACCCCATGGCAATCCACACCACAACGATCAACACCAGCCCACAGGAATCCTCATACCACACCACGACAATTCACACTGCAACATCACATTCACAACAATTCACACTGCAACATCACATTCACAACATTTCACACCACCGCAGTGCAAACCACTACTCTTACCAATCAACATCACCTCTAGATCCACTCCGCTCCAATGCACACCCCCCCCCCCCCCGCCACTCCACACCACCGCACACTCCTTGTTCTCCGTTAACCGGCGATCATCGGTCACGGGGCCGACATCACCAGGGCCGGGGATAATGTTCAGCAGAGCCACTCAGCCGAGGCCGAGTCAATGAATCATCGGCCGGGGCAGAGGAGCCATTACCCGGATCGATCCCTCGCACGCCATCATTTTAGAGACACTATAAACGAGGACTCGCTGCCGACTCCATAAACACCGCGCTCAGTGTGTAACGGTGTGTGCTCGTGTGTGCTCGTGTGTGTGCTCGTGTGTGTATATATAGAACAGGGTAAATGGCGGCGTAGACGGCAGGACACCCCCATAAAACACGACGTGCGAGGCCCACGGCTTGCGATCAACGACTCCCGCACAGTGAGAGGCCAAGCGGGACTCCACCAAGCTGCTCGATGTAGCTGGACACTAGCCCTGACCCTAGCCCTGACCCTAGCCCTGACCCTAACCCTGACCCTAGCCCTGACCCTAGCCCTGACCCTCGCCCTGACCCTCGCCCTGACCCTAGCCCTGACCCTAGCCCTGACTCTAGCCCTGACCCTAACCCTGACCCTGACTTTAGCCCTGACCCTAGCCCTGACCCTGACTCTAGCCCTGACCCTAGCCCTGACCCTAGCCCTGACCCTGACTCTAGCCCTGACCCAGACCCTAGCCCTGACCCTAGCTCTGACCCAGACCCTAGCCCTGACCCTAGCCCTGACCCGGACCCTGACTCTAGCCCTGACCCTGACCCTAGCCCTGACCCTAGCCCTGACCCTGACTCTAGCCCTGACCCTGACCCTAGCCCTGACCCTGACCCTAGCCCTGACCCTGACCCTAGCTCTAACCCTGAAACAAGTCCTCAAGCTGAACCTCGCCTTAATCCCAACCCTTCGCCCAGTCAAACATAGCCAACCAGACATTGACACTAACTCTAATCCGAGTGCTGACTTTAATCCAGACTCTAACCACAATAGGAAACTAAACCCTAAGGCTAGCACTAATCACACGAACAACCAAATCCGACCCTAGTCCTAACCCAAGCCCTAATCTCTAGTCTGCCACAATCCCTAATCCTAACCATTAATTTGGCCCTAATCCTATTCCTAACCCCTAAGTCTAATTATAACCCTCACCACCAACGGCCAACCAAACCTCGAACGCGATCCCCTCCGATGCGACGCACACTTTCACCGTCAGACATTAAACCTTTCCAATCAGACAGCCCTCACCCTCCTCCTAGTCTTTGACCAATCAACCGAGAGCATGGCCCTATAATCCAAACAACGCAAAGAAATTGAACCCCCCCCCCCCGCCCCGTTCCCCGCTAACCCTGGGCGAAGGAACAGACCGCCGTCCGAACTAAACAGCGCGCGGCGGCTCTAAGTGAGCAAGAGCGAGAGAAAGGAGAGAGAATGATTCCACTTAGGGTGGTTTATGAGGTGGCCCCGAGGAACCCCCACCCCCCGCCCCCACCGCCTGTCAGCACAGCAGCGCCACTGCCTTAACGAAGCTAAATGAGCACAGAATAACCTCCTCTGCGGGGAGGGCCCGAGCGGGCAGCCTCGCTGTGGGTTACCGTGGCGACGGGGTTACCTGGAGTTTCACCTTGATGTCATCGATGGTCACGACCTTGTTCTGAGGACGGGGACGGACGGGACGAGATGCACACGTGCATATGTACACGAATGTATGTACGTACAGACAGACATGCACACACACGCATATACACGCACCACGGACATGTACAGACATATACTGATATTGACATATGCATATATATACACACACACATATACAGATTCGTATGTACACTAATATATATGCACACGCATGTAGAGATATACACGTGCACAGTTATAGACACATACACGTGCGGACACATCACAGGTACACATACATTTCAGACAAACACGCGGAAACAGACACACGCACACATATACATGTACACGTATACACATACAGACACACGAATACAGACGCGTATACATATACAAATCCATGAATAACACACGCACGTATATGTACATACATATACACGCAGGCATACACAAAACAAATCAACACACGCACACACACGTTCACGCAAAGACACAGGCACATGCACAGAGAAACACACACAGGTCACCCAGTTAGTCTCATAGGCCATCGGTGTAAGTGTTGTTAGGGGTCACCGATGAAGCACAGTATACAGCACGGCAAAGGCATGCTTGTGACCAGACCCACGGGTTGCAAGCCACACTGCACCAGGTGCTCATTAAGAGCCGATTTAACAAAGCCAGGGTTCCTCATCACAAGCCCCTGACGTTGTGACACACATGGACTGCTGTGTTGCAGTGTGTGACACTCTGCCACGCAAGCGCACACGTGCACACATGGGACACAAACCCACGCACACAAAACCACACAGGGCCCATCCGTTCTGGCGTATTGTCATAAGACAAGGGCTGTTAGCAAACACTACACCGATACACATGGGACACAGGCTAAAACGACAGAGACCCCTATATCGATGTTAAGACAGTGCTGTTAGCAAGCAGTGCACGTACACATAAAGGCAAAGATCCCCCCCCGTATAACCTTAACACACTGTTGGGGCAAGTGCTGTTAATGAGCACCTATGAAGGGCCGGCAGGGCACACAAGGGGGTGGGTGCGTGACCAGCAACACGCACCGGGTACTCGTTTAAGGCCGAGTCAACGTAGGGGAGGCCCAAGGCAGGTTCATAAATTCGTCACTGATGTCGGCTGTGAGCGGGAATGGAACTTGAGTTGCCAGGTTCGTAGCAAAGCACGCTCACCGTTACACTACTGCTCCCCCCCCACACACACAACAACAACTGCCATTCGCCACTAAGTGGCGGTGACGTCACCACGACGCTTGTGCCAGGCCATGTGCACCTTGAGGCCACGTGAAGTGTCGAACGCCCGCTGGCAGGAAGTCCCAGGTGCCACAAGCACATAGACACTGACACACACAGATATACAAAGACCTCCTGTATAGCTTTCACAGATTTTGGGGCAAGTGCTGTTCGTGAGATGCTATTAAGGTTGGCAGGGTAAGTGACGGGGTGGGTTGCCGACAACACACCCGGCCGCTTTTGACTCCCAAATGCCACTCTTTACACACTTTACACACTGAAGGCTGAGTCGATCGAGGGGAGGTCCAACACGAGTTAAGATAATCGTCACTGGTGGTGTTGGCCATGAGCGGGAATTTAAATTGGGTTGCCGGGATTGTAGCGCAGTGCACTTACCACTGCGCCACCGCTCCCCACACACAGACATATGCACATTGTGAGACACACACGCATGCACGTATACAACGACAAAGATCCCCCATATAGCCAGAACGGGATGTTGGGGAAAGTGCTGCTAGCATAGCACCTATGAAGGCTGACACGGCACACGAGGAGGTGGGCGGCCAGCACCACGCCCGGCCGCCTATTCCTTCCTCATGACGACGTCTACACACCGCACCAGGTACTCATTTGAGGCTGAGTCGACCAATGGGAGGCCCAGGACCAGTTCAGATATTCATCACTGGTGTTAGCCGTGAGCGGGAATCAAGCTCGGGTCGCCGGCTTCGTAGCAGCAGCACGCTAACCGCTACACTAGCGCTCCCCACAGACACACAGACACACACAATCCAGGCATTTGCACACCTGTGTACACACCCAGCACACCAGTGTAAAAAAACCAAGTAAGCGCACAATGGGGTACAGTGTTCGTAGAGCAAAGGAGACCTGCATTAAAGAATTTAAACACCGCTTAGGGTCACTTACAGCTGGGTGGACACCTCAGGTTTTTAACGAATCCCATCTGTATTCATCAAGGATAACGAGCAAATGACGAATTACAGCGCGTTTGCGGAGAAACGACTGTCGCTCAACACAGGCCGCTAGAAAGCCAGAGGATGAATCCGTGATGTACACAGAGCACCAAATTGCGATGCCGTAAAGTAGGTGTGTCAGGCCCAATTAAGGTTATCCTGGGCGTGTGCTTGCCCACACAAGAGGTTATGGAAGAGGAATCGATAGTGATAATAACGATGTGAATTCATGCTCGATCCCATGCTCAAAGCCATGCTCAAAGCTCCATGTGATGTTGTACGCCCACATCTGTGTGTCCGCGAGCGAGTGATTTTGCACGCATGTGTGTTTGTCTGCGTGTGTCAGGTGGAGGAGTGGCAGGCGACCCAAGTTCGATTCCCACTCATGATCAACATCGGTGGCAAATAATTTAGATGGTTCTGGCCATTCCCTTGATCGAACTGAGGCCTCAAAAATGAGCACCTGGTGCAGTGTGTAAAAATCAGCGCTGGAGAGACAAAGGGGGCTGAGTATGGTGCTGGTCACACCACCCTTCATGCACTGTGCTGACATTAACAGGTGCTCACTAACCACACTTGGCCCAACAATCTGTTAGAGGGGGATATTTGTCTTTGTGTGTGTGCGTGCACTCGTGTGTATATCTATGTGTGTGGGTATTTGTGTGCGTGAGTTCGCGTGTGTATGAGCTATTTGTGTGTACGTGTGTGATCACTCTTTTGTATCTGTGTGGGTGTGCGAGTTTTGCGTGTGTGTGCGCGCGTGCAAATTTGAATGTCTGTCTGCCTCCTTGCGTGCGGGTTGCGCGTGCTTTTGTGCGTGTAAATTCTACGCGTTCATTTGGATGAGTGAGAAAATCTGAATGCCTGGCAATGCATATGTGCGCATGCATGCATGACAGCCAAGTGTGGGCATGCGTGGGCGTAGGGGATTTAAACGATGGGTGGGAGGACAGGAGCAGGAACTGCTTCGGTGAGTGTGCGCATGCACACAGGGTGTGCTAACGAGGGAGGGTGGCCGTGTGTGTGTGTGTGCGCATGTCAGCGTGTGGGTGTGTCCGTGCGTGTGCACACAGGATGTGCTAACGAGGGAGGATGTGCGTGCGTGCCAGCATGTGGCAGTGTCCGTGAACGTGCACACAAGGTGTGATAACGATGGAGGGGTGTGTGGCATTTGTGTGTGTGTTCGTGCCAGTGTGCGTGTATATGTGCCAGTGTGTGCCCGTGTGTACATGCCAGTATGTGTGTGTGTGGGTGCATGTGCAGGAAACTGTTGCATCCGCCAGTGCATGCATGCATGCGTGACGATTACCTGAACCGGTCCCGGGCTTCACCTAGGTCGACTCAGACTCAAATGAGTACCTGGTGCAGTGTGTAAACATCGCCACTGGGGAGACAAAGGCGGTTGGGCGTGGTGCTGGCCACTCACCCCCTCGTGTGCCGTGCTGGAGCATAGGTGATTGCAAATAGCACTACTCACAAACAGCCTCAACAGCCTGTTAAGACTATACGGGGGATATGTGTTTTTTATGCGTCACTGTGGGTGTGTACAGGAGTATGTACTCATGCCTGTCAGTGTGCGAGTGTACGTACAAGCACATGTGCGCGTGTCAGGGTGTGTGCGTGTGTGTGCGTGTGTGTGCATGCAATTATGTATGTGTGTCAGGGTGTGTGCATGTGTAGGGAGTGGTGGTGTAGCAGTTAGCAAGCTGCGTTAGGAACCCGGCGACCCGAGTTCCATTCCCACTCACAGCTAACACCAGTGACGATTATCGGAACAGCTCGTGGGCCTCCCCTAGGTGGACTCAGCCTCAAATGAGTACCTGGTGCGGTGTGTAAACATCTCCACTGGGGAGACAAAGGCGGTCGGGCGTGGTGCTGGCCACCCACCCCCTCGTGTGCCGTTCTGGCCTTCATAGGCGCTCGCTAACAGCACTTGCCCAACAGTCTATTAAGGCTATACGGGGGATCTTTGTCTTTGGGTGTGCATGCACGTATGTATGTGTGTCATGGTGTGTGTGTGTGATTGCATTCTTAGATGCGAGTGAGGTATGGTTTTTGTGTGTTTGTGTGCATTCATGCGGGATATATATATGTGAATGAATGTGCGTACAATTGTGTGCATCCGTGGTATTTTAACGAGTGGAGAGAAGGTAGGGGGGAGTGATTGGTGGCCGGGGGGGGGGGAGGGGAGTCTTGCCTTGAAGTCGATGCCGACTGTGGCGATGTAGCTGCCGGACAGGAAGGCACCGTCTTTAAAGCGCATGAGCAGACAGGTCTTGCCCACGCCGGAGTCTCCGATCACCATCACCTACAGCACAGCACGCAGCACACAAAGCACACATCGAACGCAGCACACACAGCAGACATCACAGATAGGTCTTACCCACGCCCGAGTCTCTGATCACCGTCACCTACAGCACATATCACGCACATAGTACACATAACACACACACATCACACACACAGTACACAGCACAGATGATACCACACAGCATGTCACGCAGTACTCAACACGCATTGTTACTGTGTGTTTACGCATGTGTGTGTGATTGTGTGTGGGAAGTCCCATGGGATGTTGGCTACCAACAACAAGGCAACTCCTATGACTAATTGGGAATGGGACGCAAGCGTAGGATTGATCACCCTGTCGCTGGCCGCCTTTGGGGAGGGTGTATAGTATGAAAGGCCGAAACACCCTAGGAACCAAAGGGTCACTACTGACGATGCGCTCCCCAAATTTCACCAGGCTCACTGTTCATGAACTCTTGGAAGTGCTTGCACAAAGGATAGTAACATCTCATCCTGTGTTCTTTGGAATCTTACTGTGTGTTTACGCATGTGTGTGTGATTGTGTGTGGGAATGTCTTTGTGTGTGTCCGTGTGTTGTGGGGAGTGGTAGCGTAGTGGTTAGCGCACTGCGCTACGAACCTGGCTACCCGAGTTCGATTCCCATTCAGGGCCAACATCAATGACGAATATCTGAACTGGTCCTGGGCCTCCCTCCTAAGCATCGCCACTGAGCAGACAAAAGTGACGAGGCACGGTGCTAGCCGCACCACCCCTTCGTGTGCTGTGGTGGCCTTCATAGGTGCTCAATCACAGCACTTACCCCTAACAGTCTGTTAAGGGTTTTTGGGGGGGGGGGGGATCTTTGTCTTTTGTTGCGATGTGCATGTTGTGTTTGGGAAGTGGTGTCAAGGTGGTTAAGGAAGAACGCTGCTGTACACCTCATTCACCTGGGTTAGATTCCTGGCCACGTGTATTATAAGCAGTCAATGCTGACACCATGGAACGCCTAGGTCGACTCAGCTGGTAAATAACCAGGGGGGCGGGGGGGTGGGGGCCACTATTGCCACCTACTTCATAGGGAGGGGGGCAGGCTGTTTTGTAAAACTGGGAGGGGGGGGCAGCACTAAAGAATTGGGTGGGGGGGGGGTATTTAGGTCCCAGTGCCTTCGGGGTTCTCCATTGCCATGACAACCGGGCGAGCAGGACGCCATGGAAACGCCGGGCGCCTCGTGACGAGCAACAGCCGGATCTCACCGTCTCTCCCTGCAAAGCATCGCCAACTCACCACCGTCACATCACTCACCACCCTCACATCACTCACCACCATCACGACCATCACATGCTTCACATCACTCACCACCCTCACCACCCTCACGTTACTCACCACCCTCTCCACCCTCACCACCCTCACATCCTTCACATCTCGATTTAAAGCTTTCGTGACTGCAGGGATTCATCTTCTTGGTTCTTTCGGTAAAGTCACGTAGAAGGGAAGTAATAAAATAATAAAAATAAAACATAATAAAACAATTCTCACGACGTTTCGGCCACAACGCAAGCAGCCGTCCTCAGGTGAAAACCAGGTCCGTCGAGGCGACAGAGTCTGAATGAAACAGCACACGGGCTTAGAGCATATATATAAGCTGGGCGCATTGACAAAGGAATTTGCATATCAACAGGAATTTAGCATATTTATGGGAAATGCGGGAATGTAATTAGTACTGCATATGCATGTGCATTATGCAGGATTAACAGCATCAAAGGGAGCTGCAGTTACTGCTGCTGCAGCAGTTGCTGCTGCTGCAGTTTCTGCTGCTGCTGCAGTTGCTGCTGCAGTTGCTGCTGCTGCTGCACTTGCTGCTGCTGCTGCACTTGCAGCAGTAACTGCAGCTCCCTTTGATGCTGTCAGCAGTAACTGCAGCTCCCTTTGATGCTGTTAATCCTGCATAATGCACATGCATATGCAGTACTAATTACATTCCTGCATTTCCCATAAATATGCTAAATTCCTGTTGATATGCAAATTCCTTTGTTAATGCGCCCAGCTTATATATATGCTCTAAGCCCGTGTGCTGTTTCATTCAGACTCTGTCGCCTCGACGGACCTGGTTTTCACCTGAGGACGGCTGCTTGCGTTGTGGCCGAAACGTCGTGAGAATTGTTTTATTATGTTTTATTTTTATTATTTTATTACTTCCCTTCTACGTGACTTTACCGAAAGAACCAAGAAGATCCTTCACATCACTCACCACCCTCACCACCCTCACATTACTCACCACCCTCACCACCCTCACCACCATCACATCCTTCACATCACTCACCACCCTCACCACCCTCACGTTACTCACCACCCTCACCACCCTCACCACCCTCACATCCTTCACATCACTCACCACCCTCACCACCCTCACCACCTTTACCTCCCTCACATCACTCACCACCCTCACGTCACTCACGACCCTCACCTCCCTCACCACCCTCACCACCCTCACGTCACTCATCACCCTCACCACCCTCACCTCCCTCACATCACCACCCTCACATCACTCACCACCCTCACCACCCTCACAACCCTCACCACCCTCACATCACTCACCACCCTCACCACCCTCACGTCACTCATCACCCTCACGTCACTCACCACCCTCACATCACTCACCACCCTCACAACCCTCACAACCCTCACCACCCTCACGTCACTCACCACCCTCACATCACTCACCACCCACACAACCCTCACCACCCTCACACTCACCACCCTCACGTCACTCATCACCCTCACCTCCCTCACCACCCTCAAGTCACTCATCACCCTCACCACCCTCAAGTCACTCATAACCCTCACCACCCTCACCACCTTAACGTCACTCACCACCCTCACCTCCCTCACCTCCCTCACATCCCTCACCACACTCACCACCCTCACATCACTCACCACCCTCACATACCGTCACATCACTCACCACCCTCACCTCCCTCACCTCCCTCACCACCCTCACCACCCTCACATCACTCACCACCCTCACATCACTCACCACCCTCACCACCTTCACGTCACTCACCACCCTCACCACTCTCACCTCCCTCACCTCCCTCACATCCCTCACCACCCTCACATCACTCACCACCCTCACATACCGTCACAACACTCACCACCCTCACCACCCTCACGTCACTCATCACCCTCACATCACAACCCTCACCTACCTCACCACCCTCACCTCCCTCACATCACCACCCTCACATCACTCACCACCCTCACATCACTCACCTCCATCACCTCCTTCACAACCCTCACACTCACCTCCCTCACCTTACTCACCTCCCTCACAACCCTCACATCACTCACCACCCTCACATCACTCACCACCCTCACCACCCTCACGTCACTCACCACCCTCACCTCCCTCACATCACCACCCTCACATCACCACCCTCACATCACTCACCACCCTCACATCACTCACCACCCTCACCAGCCTCACCACCCTCACCTCCCTCACATCACCTCCCTCACATCACTCACCACCCTCACATCACTCACCACCCTCACATCACTCACCACCCTCACCAGCCTCACCACCCTCACCTCCCTCACATCACCACCCTCACCTCCGTAACGTCCCTCACGTCCCTAACCTAACTCACATCACTGACGCAACTCACCTCCTCATTTCGATTTAAAGCTTTCGTGACTGCAGGGATTCATCTTCTTGGTTCTTTCGGTAAAGTCACGTAGAAGGGAAGTAATACAATAATAAAAATAAAACATAATAAAATAAAATAATTCTCACGACGTTTCGGCTACAACGCAAGCAGCCGTCTTCTACGTGACTTTACCGAAATAACCAAGAAGATCACCTCCTCATATCAATCATGTCACTCACCTCATTGAAATAACTGACCTCCCTGACTTCATATCAATCACCACCTCACTCACATTCCTCACATCATTCACACCCCCCCCCCATTCCACCTTCCTCACCTCCCACATCCCTCACCTGCCTCCAATTACTCCTAGACCTCACGTAACCCACCACCTCACCTCCATCACATACCTCACCTGCTCACACACCCCCCTGGCGTCACTCACCACACTCACCATCCTCACATCGCTCACCACCCTCACCGTCCTCGCCTCCCACACACATAACACCCCTCGCGTCCATCAAAACTCCCTTACATCCCTCTTCTTGTCTCTCTCATTCCCCGTGCCTCACATCTCAGTGGCAATACATCTCAAACATGTATTTGATCGCTCACAGAGCCACAGTCGTGTCCTGCACGACCCCCTCTGCACAGACCGCCTGTGTAATCATCCCCTGTGGGGCCTCGCCGTACGGACCCTGGTGTTCCCTCCACACGACCCCTCTTTATAAACCGACTTTCACGTGAACCCCTGAATGAAGCCCCCCCCCCCCCCCTTTCCACACGACCCCTGTACACGATCTATCTCTCTTCGCTTAAACTCCCCCCACCACCCCCGAATGTTCAAATGACCCTCCACGACCAGCACAGCGTAGGGATGCCTTCATCCAGCAGTGGATTGACAAAGGGCTGAACTCTAACATTACTCAGTGCTCCCCATATCCCCCCCCCCCAACACAAATTCACCACCCCCATGACACCTGCGTTGTACGAACCCCCGTGTCCTCCCAGCCCCCCTCCCCGGTCCACCCCCTGTGCGCCACCCCCACCCCACTCCCCACCCACTCCCCACCCCACTCCCCACCCACTCTCGCATGACCCCTCCACTACCCCCGAGACCCCCCCCTTCCCATAGCCCACCACATGCACCCCCCCACCCCCTTAGAATGACTCCTTCACTAACCCTCGTGCCCTCACCCCCCAACAACACCGTGCCCCCCCCTCCAACAAAACCGTGCCCCCCCCCCCAACAACACCGTGCCCCCCTCCCCCAGCCCCCCACCTTGAATGAGAGGTCAAACGCCTCCTTGGCGCTACCGCTCCGCGATTGGCGCCCGGCGCGAACCCCGTTCGCGTTGCTGCCGCCGCCGCCGCCTCCGCTGCTGCCGCCGCTGCTGCTGCTGCTGATGATGCTGGCGAGGGGCCCCGCGGGGCCGGGGGCGCCTTTGGGCCTCGGCGAGTGCGTGGAGGGGCCGCCGACCCCCGCGGGAACCTCCGTGGAGATGCTCCTCTTGCTGCCGAACGGGAGCCGCGCGCGGCGCGACATTTCCTCAAATCACGAGCCGGGCGGTGAGGGGATTGGGGGGTGGGGGGAGTTCTATTCCAGCATGGCAGGGGTGGGGGTGGAGGTGGTGGGGGGTGAGGTGGGGGGGGGGGGGTGGTTAGGTGAGGGGGGGATGGTGGGGGGGGGATGGTGGGGGGGGGGATGGTGAGGTGAGGGGGTGTGGTTAGGTGAGGGGGTGGTTAGGTGAGGGGGGGTGGTTAGGTGAGGGGGGATGGTTAGGTGAGGGGGGATGGTTAGGTGAGGGGGGGTTAGGTGAGGGGGGGGATGGTTAGGTGAGGGGGGGGTGGTTATGTGAGGGGGGATGGTTAGGTGAGGGGGGGTGGTTAGGTGGGGGGGGGTGGTTAGGTGAGGGGGAGATGGTGAGGGGGGGTGGTTAGGTGAGGGGGGGTGGTTAGGTGAGGGGGAGATGGTGAGGGGGGGGTGGTTAGGTGAGGGGGGGATGGTGGGGGGGGGGATGGTTAGGTGAGGGGGGGTGGTTAGGTGAGGGGGAGATGGTGAGGGGGGGGTGGTTAGGTGAGGGGGGGTGGTTAGGTGAGGGGGGGTGGTTAGGTGAGGGGGGATGGTTAGGTGAGGGGGGATGGTTAGGTGAGGGGGGGTGGTTAGGTGAGGGGGGGATGGTTAGGTGAGGGGGGGGATGGTTAGGTGAGGGGGGGATGGTTAGGTGAGGGGGGGGTGGTTAGGTGAGGGGGGGATGGTTAGGTGAGGGGGGGATGGTTAGGTGAGGGGGGGGATGGTTAGGTGAGAGGGGGGATGGTTAGGTGAGGGGGGGGATGGTTAGGTGAGAGGGGGGGTGGTTAGGTGAGGGGGGATGGTTAGGTGAGGGGGGGGTGGTTAGGTGAGGGGGGTGGTTAGGTGAGGGGGGTGGTTAGGTGAGGGGGGGTGAAGGTGAGGTGAAGGGAGGGGTGGTTAGGTGAGGGGGGGGTGAAGTAGGAGGTAGAATGGTGAGTGCAAAAGGGTGGGGGAAGAGAGACACGGGGTGAGGATTGGTGAGGCCGGGAAAGAAGTCAGTTGAGGGGGGCACGTGTGGTGGGAGGGGTGCCGGGAACAGGTGAGCAAGGATAGACACACAGGTGAGGGAGAAAGGTGAGGTAGTGAGAGCGTTTAGAGTGAGATGCAGCTGAGTGTCAGGCGAATTACACAAGTGTGTGGAGTCGGGTAAGCTTGCGGATGCAGGTGAGAGTGGATAGACGAGCAGGCAGATGGGGACAGCCGTGAGCGATAGCTTCGATGGTGTTTGTGGCGTGAGGGACGGTGGCAAGGAACAGGTGGAGACCCGGTAAGAGGAGCGAGGACAGGTTTCAGGAGGAACTGATTTGAGGGACAGATGAGGACACGGTCAAGGAGCCGGGCAGACAGGCGAGCGGGGTGAGCAGCGGTGAGCGAGCACGCGAATGAGGTGAGGAACAGGTGATCGGGAGACGAGGCCTCAGGGACCAGAGGGTGAGCAGGCAGGTAAATGACGGAGGTGAGTAACAGGTGAGGAGAGAGGTGAGTAACAGGTGAGGAGAGAGGTGAGTAACAGGTGAGGAGAGAGGTGAGTAACAGGTGAGGAGAGAGGTGAGTAACAGGTGAGGAGAGGGAGCAGTCGGTCTGAGCACAACAGGTGAGGAACAAGATGAGCGCAGACAGCTGGTGAGGAGCTGGTGAGGAGCTGGTGAGGAGCTGGTGAGGAGGAGGAGGAGAGGTGAGCGCGGCCGTGGTGAGGAGGAGGAGGAGGCGCCGCCGCGTCGCGGAAGCGGAGCTCCAGTGAGGACCGGGTAAAATAGGAGCGCGCGCGTGGACGACGTAAACACGTGACGTCACCACGCACGGGCGCGACGTCACGACGCACAGCGGTGGGGTTTTTTTTACGCGCTCGTCGCCTGAGAGACGTGGTCGCATGACGTCACCACGCACGGCACCAACGTCACGACGCACGGGCACCGACGTCACGACGCGCAGCAATGTTTCATCGCGCGCGTTTCCTCAGGAACGTGAACTCGTGACGTCATGACGCACGGGCACCAACGTCACGACGCACAGCAATGTTTCGTCGCGCGCGTCCCGAGGGACGTGGCCGCGTGACGTCATGACGCACGGGCACCAACGTCACGACGCACAGCAATATTTCGTCGCGCGCGTCTCCTGAGGGACGTGGCCACGTGACGTCACCATGCACGGGCACCGACGTCACGACGCACAACAATATTTCGTCGCGCGCGTCTCCTGAGGGACGTGGCCGCGTGACGTCATCACGCACGGGCATCAACGTCACGACGCACAGCAATGTTTTGTCGCGCGCGTCTCCTGAGGGACGTGGCCGCGTGACGTCATCACGCACGGGCATCAACGTCACGACGCACAGCAATGTTTTGTCGCGCGCGTCTCCTGAGGGACGTGGCCGCGTGACGTCATCACGCACGGGCATCAACGTCACGACGCACAGAAATGTTTCGTCGCGCGCGTCTCCGAAGGGACGTGGCCGCGTGACGTCATCACGCACGGGCATAACGTCACGACGCACAGAAATGTTTCGTCGCGTGCGTCTCCGAAAGGGACGTGTAACCTGTGACGTCATCACGCACGCGAGCGCTGTCAACACGCGCAAGGGGGGAGGGGTTTAAACAGAGTGACGTCGTACATACGGCTATGACATCACCACGCACGGCTGTGACATCACCACGCACATTTTTCTTACGATACGAAAAATATGACGCTAATCTCGATATCAGTTTTCCATAACTTTGCAATTCCATTTCACACTTATACGTCGTTTTGTAACTACATTACAACCTCAGTCGAGTTTGCACGCGTTACGCAACAGGGCGATCTCTTCCGCCTCGTATTAAACACTGCAACACAAGCTCCTAATAGTTTGATAGCGTGAACGACTCGCGCGATGACGTGCGAACGCACGACGCTTATCTTGTGACGGAATAACCGCACGTCGAATGACGTCATGTCACGCGCACCTCCCACACCGCCGCCGTGCGCATGACATCATCACGCGGGAAACGTCATCGCTCAGAGTACGACGCCGCGTGCCTGCTACAGTGTGACGTCATCACGCATGCGGTGACTGGTGGTTGCAAGGATTCATACTCTTAGGTTTTGTCGGCAAAGACACGTAGGTAAAAATAAAAGAAATAATAAAATAATAATAGCAATAAAAGAAACATATTTTATTAATATTATTTTATTATTTATTTTAAAATAAATAATAGCAATAAAATAAAAATATTTTATAAAATATTTTTATTTCTATTAATTTTTTTTATCTTGCTGTGGTTGTACCACCTGATGACGATCGCTTGTGTTGCGATCGAAACGTCGTGATCTATTATTTTTCTACCTACGTGACTTTAGCGAAATGACCAAAGAGTACGGATTCCTGCAGTCAGGAAAGCTTCAAATCAAGATTTAACACCTGTTTTGTTGGCCAGAAAAAAGGGGAAAAAACCTATTCTTTTATTTTGACACTGCCAAAGGAGGTCCCATGATGTAGATTTGAAGCTTTCGTGACTTGCAAGGATTCATTCTCTTAGGTTTTTTCGGTAAAGTCACGTAGGTAAAAATTTATAATAAAAATAATAGAAATAATAATAGAAATAAAAAAATAAATCACGACGTTTCTGAGGCAACACAAGTCTCCGTCATCAGGTGGGACCGTCACAGCCAAATTTACTGTATCAATTTTGCCTCACTTGATACAGTAAATCTGGCTGTGACGGTCCCACCTGATGACGGAGACTTGTGTTGCCTCGGAAACGTCGTGATTTATTATTTAATTTCTTTTATTTTTATTATTTATTTTTCCCTACGTGACTTCACCGAAACAACCTCACAGTATGAGATCCATGATGTGTTGGTGACGCCAACGCGCACACGTTTACAGGCGCGGTGACGTGCAGTGACGTCACCACGCACAACGTGCAGTGACGTCACCACGCACAAACGTGCTGTGACGTCACCACGCACAAACGTGCTGTGACGTCCCCACAAACAAACGTGCTGTGACGTCACCACGCACAACGCGCGGTGACGTCACCACGCACAACGTGTTGTGACGTCACCACGCGCAACGCGCGGTAACGTCACCACGCACAACGTGTTGTGACGTCATCTCGCACAAACGTGCTGTGACGTCACCCCGCACAACGCGCGGTGACGTCACCACGCACAACGTGTGACGCTTACGTCGTGCAGGTGAGTGAGAGGGCTCTTGGCGGAGGGCTGCACGCGTGCGAGGATGAGGCTGCCGCCGCTGCTGCCGCTGCTGCTGCCCCCTCTGACTCGCCTCTCCTCTCGGCCGCTCGCCGCGCTGCCCGCGGCGCGGGGCCCTGCCCGCGGTACGTGCCCCGTGCGGCGGCCGGGCAGGGGGCCACGCTGGGAGAGAGGTGGTGGGGGGGGGGGAGGCCCTTTTGGCTGCCCTGGGTTGTGTGTGGTCCCACAGTAGTAGGGTCGGGATCGGGGGGCCGAGCCCCCCCCCCCTTCCCTTCTCCCGTCTGACGACGCCAGGTCAAGTCGCACAACATCACGAGTTGGTGGTGGTGGTGGTGGCGGTGAAGGAAGTGAATTGCGGCCCTCTGAAGTCAACCGCCTGCCCATGGCGCTAGGGCCTCCACTAGAGGGAGCCCTCGTCCAGTCTCGAGTACAAGAGGACAGAGTGGAGTCGAGTCCAGTCGAGAGTCCAGTCTCGAGTACAAGAGGACAGAGTGGAGTCGAGTCCAGTCGAGAGTCCAGTCTCGAGTACAAGAGGACAGAGTGGAGTCGAGTCCAGTCGAGAGTCCAGTCGAGAGTACTTGACCAGGGGTTTTTTTTTTGACGGGTGTGCCAAGGGGTCATTTGGACCTTAGTTTAATCGTGGTGGTTTACCGTAGCTTCATTTTTTCTTTACTTATTCAATATCCCCAAGTGAAATATTAACGTCCCAAAACGCAACACGACAAAAGGGTTTGTCATTATTTCGCGATCAACCCGTGATTCGTGGGGGGGGGGGGGGGGTCAGGCTGCTCACAAGGGGTTCTTATCACCTGCTGGGGGGCATCTCGCAAACCCCGGGTGATGACCCCGCGGGGGTTGCGAGGTGACCCCGCGGGGGTTGCGAGGTGACCCCGCGGGGGTTGCGAGGTGACCCCGCGGGGGTTGCGACGTGACCCCGCGGGGGTTGCGACGTGACCCCGCGGGGGTTGCGACGTGACCCCGCGGGGGTTGCGAGGTGACCCCGCGGGGGTTGCGAGGTGACCCCGCGGGGGTTGCGAGGTGACCCCGCGGGGGTTGCGACGTGACCCCGCGGGGGTCGCGACGTGACCCCGCGGGGGTCGCGACGTGACCCCGCGGGGGTCGCGAGGTGACCCCGCGGGGGTCGCGACGTGACCCCGTGGGGGTCGCGACGTGACCCCGTGGGGGTCGCGACGTGACCCCGTGGGGGTTGCGACGTGACCCCGCGGGGGTTGCGACGTGACCCCGCGGGGGTTGCGAGGTGACCCCGCGGGGGTTGCGACGTGACCCCGCGGGGGTTGCGACGTGACCCCGCGGGGGTTGCGAGGTGACCCCGTGGGGGTTGCGACGTGACCCCGTGGGGGTTGCGAGGTCACCCCGTGGGGGTTGGGAGATGACCCCGTGGGGGTTGGGAGGTGACCCCGTGGGAGTTGCGAGGTGACCCCGCGGGGGTTGCGACGTGACCCCGTGGGGGTTGCGAGGTGACCCCGTGGGGGTTGCGACGTGACCCCGTGGGGGTTGCGAGGTGACCCCGTGGGGGTTGCGAGGTCACCCCGTGGGGGTTGGGAGATGACCCCGTGGGGGTTGCGAGGTGACCCCGTGGGGAGTTGCGAGGTGACCCCGTGGGGGTTGGGAGGTGACCCCGTGGGAGTTGCGAGGTGACCTCCAGTGGCGTTCTAATATCGGGAGGAAGAGGTTTCCAGATGACCGCAGAAGCGCATCTGAATGTGCACGATGCAGTGACCATCTTAGTTCGATGGCTCGCCGAAAGTTTCTGCGAGGATGACCAGAGTTCGCGTGATGATGGTTTATGCCCCTTGACTAGATCAGCAAGGTATTGTGGTTCATTTGTGGCGAGCACTTTGTGTGTAATGAGTGCGACCAGTTCATGTATTCGTTTAGCAACTGGAAGCCAATGCAGCTGAGCGAGCACCGGACAGACACGTTGGGATCTTGCAGTACCCGGCACGACACGTGACACAGAATTTTGTACATGCAGCAGCTCGGTAATGTTTTTGACAAACGTCCCGTAAAGTAATGAGTTGCAATAATCAAGCCTTGTCGATACTATGCTTCACCCGCCGTGTTGGACTCTGAAGGGTCTGTGGGGTTGGGGTCTTTAGGGCTGGGGACTGTGTTTGGAGTCTGTAGGAATTTGGTTCTGTGGGGTTGGAGTAATGGACGGCTTGATAAGTTACATGACATCATTCCTATCGTTCGCCTGAGCAATTCATAACTAGCAAGCTTACGTATTTATAAGCTTGACAAATTATTTAATTCCGATGATTGGAATGTGTACCAGAGGTACATCAAAGCACAACATGAAGTCCATGAAAATGTTAAAATACAAATTACAAAAGTAACGTAAACTTATATCACGATAATCGTCAAATCGTGAAATTTAATCTCGTAAAGTGAAGCATTAAACCGTGACTACCCCCGGTGTAATCTACAGGTCATACTCTGAGCCTCGACCAGAAATTCCACTCATCAGTGCCGAGCGAGCTGGCAAGACCATTCCAACATGGTTGTTAAAAAAAAACTGCTACTAAAGTGTAATATAATACTGACAAGCTACTCATTTGGAAGTGTTCGTGCGTGATATTTCACTTTTATTGGTCGTATAATGAAATTGGCGGCACTAACGTGGTAGCCACCTAAGGTGGCAGCGCGCTCCGTGTCATGGCCCCGCAATTTGTGGCCCTGAGCCGCGAGGCGGCTGCTTCCGCCACCAGACTGGGGATTTAAAATCATCCCAGTGCCCCTGCATCATCCTCGCTGAGCCTTATACATTTTTTTTGGTTTTTTTAATTATAATTTATATCACTCTTTGGTTCTTTCGGTAAAGTCACGTATAACACAAGCAATCATCATCAGGTATAAAATAAATAGCAACAAAAATCTAACCAGAAAACTATAGACAGACATACAAGCAGAGAGATATCACAAAGATACACAGAGATAGAACACACATCGGCACACAGAGAGAGAATGTCTCTGTGACGAGACCTTAAATAGAGAGAGGGGGTGGGGGCGGAGAGAGGGAGGGGCCAGAGAAAAAAATTAGCATGTCAATGGGTAGGACGACGGGCGGCAAGGTACGCAAGCTTGAAAATTAGGAGAGCGGGAGAAAGACACACTAAATTAAATAACCTAGCAAAATATCGAAATGTAATGTAATGCAACACAGAGAGTCGGTCAACACACAATTAACGCATAGCCTGGTTGAATACGTATTTCAAAGATTGCTAAGTTATAAGTTAAGTGTGAAATTTGAAAGACACAAACACGAAGATGTTCATGGTTCGAATCCAGAGGCCGCCCCGGTTAACGCTGCGTGAGCGTGTTTTGGAACCACCTAGTTTCACCTCTATCCGCATTTATAATTACTCGATTAAAATCACCAACGTTTACGTGCGAATGCCATTTTACATAATAATTTGCAATAAAAAAAAATCTGTAATTGTAGAATGTGATGATGTTATCTGGCGCCCCGAGTTGCCCTTGAAAAAGAGCTTCTGGACTCGGTGAAATTTTCTCGGGAAATCAACTTCTAATTCTGACTACGTGCCGTCTGCATCACAGGAGACGTTTTGAGATGTCGTGGTCGTCATTGGAAGCGGCTGGTAGGCCATTGTGTTTCTGGCGTCATGGTACAAATTCGCCAAATTTGAAAGCTCACCCCCCTGAAAGTTACTCACTTGAAATATACGTAGCAATCATCGCCTTTGGACCGCGACCCCTCCTGAAAAAGAGCCCTGAGACTCGGTGAGGCTTTTCCTAGGTCAAGAAACATAACGATAATGATTCATATGTGCAAAAAAGTTATAATTTATCGGTGCATGCAATGATTCGTGGATTGAAATAGTCCCTTACCGTCCATTATGTGTTGCAAAATTATAATTTATTATTTTTGAGGATTTATACGGAATTCCCTGGATTGTTTAAGATGCTGGGTGAAAATAAGGCACGGTGCACCAAAAACCTGTTCCCCAGTGTCAGAAGTCACCCGGTAAAATTAAATAAAAAATACAGTTTACAAAATATCGCCTCGTGCGTACATACACCTACCCGGGGGAGAGGGGTGTGTGGGTGATAAGTAAGTCTTACAATCGGGAGGATGCGGTATGAACATTCACCAGCAGTTTTTTAGTAGTGGGGCATATATCGATTCTTTCATGGATTAAATCAATTATTAGCCTGACTATCGTGCTTGAGAGAATTGATTGTTTCGTATGATTTGTATATGTTGTATGACATTTCTTCACTTGCATACGGCCCTCACCCCAAATCGCCCCACCCCCCCCCAACCCTACACTGGCGATTTGATGAACTGTCAGGATTCAAGGGCACGACGATTCGGCCTTGGAAAATAAAGCTCTATAAACGTTCTTTATTTCACCCGGGAAAGACTTGGAACCGAATCCCAAGGTTTCGTTTCAAGCGGGGGTCCCCGTGTTGGGCATTTTTTGGCCAGTTCCAGTGATGAATGCTTGGGCCTCGTTTCTCACCAGATAGTAACTGACCCCCTGAATGGCGAGCTAACACAAGGAGCGAGATAGAAAGTGGATGCTAATCGTGGCATAGCTAAAGCATCGCTTCTTGTCAGCGGGATGCAGATTTGTCAAATTCACCGTTGGCTTGCGTGGGAGGGCGGTAAGGCGGTGGTTCGTGCATTGTACGACGAGCCCGGCGAGCCGAGTTCGATTCCCAGCCACGGCTCGCGTGGATGGCGAGTGATGTCTGAACCAGGCCGACCCACCACCCCCCCGTGCATCAATCTGTACTGTCCAGCGTGGTGAAGTATGGTCAAACAATCCCCCGTGACCAACGCAGCATGGGCAGGCCTTCGTCGAGCATTGGATTGACAAATCTACTTATTAATAATTACTTTTAATATCGGTGAAAGAAAGCTCAAGTGCCAGCCTTTCAATTGGTTACGTCCACTGTGAAGATGGAGTGACGAAATCTCCTCGTTTGTCGGTGCGGAGTGGATTATTACATCACAGAACAGTGAGTGATGGTGACGGTTTGGGATTGCCTTAATCCAGCAGTGAGGGGAGTGACCATTGCCGATGATGGTGGTGACAATGATTGGTTACAGGACGTCACGTAGGGAATTTTTCCA